GCCCTGGCCATCAATTCAACACTTTGCCCTCGAACTCATCCCGTTGCCCATTGAAATTGTTGCGGGTGGAACGGCGATGCCGCATTGAACACCAAATGGCCATTATGTGCTGAGCAGGGCCACTTGATTTGTGGGTTCTGCTTCGGTTCCAGCTCCTGTTCCTGTTTCTGTTTCTGTTCCTGTTTCTGTTCCTGGAAAAACGTGATCCGTGATTTACATGTGTTTAACCTTCACCCACCCACCCACTTCTTCCCAAGAGTTCCGGAATGGAAGCCCAACTTTTGCCTGGGGAAGCGATTAATTTCCAATGACTGCAAGACAAGGTGTGAGCACAATTAGCTCCGTTTTTATTCACCAAGATTGCTGTCGGGATTTATGTGAGAATTTGGGCGAAAACGATATATGCTAAGTCTATTTTGCTCAAACTATTGCAAAAAAAATATAAGCCCATAATATACCCCTTACTCGTAGAGCGATATGATATAGTGAATTTGTATAAATAGCTGGGAAGTTGAAATAAATAAAAATATCCAATATATAACTGAATTTTATATAAGGTTTTTTTTCACTGCCCCCCCCCCTTTCATTTAAAGCATTTATATTTGCTGTTTGCATGCATTTAGCTTCGTTAGTCTGAGCGGCTTTTCCCCGCTTTTCCAGCTGCCATTTGCAATTTTCCGTTCGCCATTCGCTGGCTGACAGACTCTTCCTTTTCGCCGCCTCGTATCAGTGTTTCTGTGTGCGAGTGTGCGAGTGTTTAATTGTCGCAGTGCGACCCACCCAACTGCCAGTCCGTTCCGAAAGCTCCCCCATCGCAACCTCATTTTTGGCCATTTTTCAAAAGGGTGTACGCGCGCAACGTAAATCGCCAAAAATTGTCCCAACAACAGCGTTGTGTCGTCGACTTTCAATGAAATTTCGCCGGGCATTTTTGTGCCGCTGCAAAAGAAGATCATTGAAGTTTTTGTTGTCCCCACAGGATGACGCTCTTCTATACCCTGTAGTCAGTTGGGCATTTGCCTCTGAGCAGGGTATTATCTGGCCGGGTGCCGGAATTCCCGGAATGCAGCTATACCCTTGAGTCAGGGGACGGGTATTAAAAGTTGCCCAACAAGTTTGGCCTGGCAAAAAGGATCAGGACAAATGTTTTCCGCTGCTTCGCTGATAAAAACAGCATGTATGCATGCACACAGAAAACAATTCAATTTGTTCAGTTAGGAAATTACCGTCTAGGCGAATTAGTTAAATTAATTGCTTATAATTTTTTGGACTACAGGATGAAGCTACAGAAAGCACTGGGCGTTGAAATAATTCCTAAATGAGTTTAAATGTGAAGTCCTGAATTCCAATCGAAAGTCTACGTTTCACGTTTCAATGCTTTATTTTTAGAATTCTTTCTAAATGATTTCCCCAATAATTATTAAAAATAGTTATTAACTATTTAAAAGCTAAGCAATATTTTAGTTCATAATTTTATTGCAGAACACTCTAATTGTTAATAAATTGTGAATCGATTGCAATAATGAACTTGAGTGCGCTGAAACTTTACTAAGACTTTTTTCCAGTGTACCTGTTCATATGTGTGTTTTGGCATCTCGAGAAAATATGGCGCAATAAAGTTTTGCGCTCCTGCGACATGAGCGCATATTTGAAGGCTCCTGTTGAGTTTCTGTGTGCCTTACGCATATGCAGATTCATTGGGTGTGTGGGCTGGGCTGTGGAGAAAGTGGCTTCCAAAGAGGTTGGGTGCAAAGGAAATGCCCCACAGAAAGATTCTATCGCTGTCAAAATTTGTAATTTAAAAATGGGCCTGGAGCCTTTTTCAGTCAGCATCTAGTGCAGAACTTTGAAAGGTAAACGGTGCGCTCAAAACGTTCTTAAAGTGAAATCTTTAATCTTTCAATGAAATGTATGGCTTAAATGTATCAGGGAACTCCAAATACCATCCTCAGCAAGTCATTAAATTACCAAATAAAGTCATGGATTGTTATATCTTCCGTTTTTCAGACATTTGATTATTTCTATCCAAATATACACATAAATTTCTTTCTACCTACACATCAACCAGAATAGATAAATATTTCAAAAAAATACAGAAATAAATATTTTGTAGCAGCAAACGTTTAAGATTTGAATCCAACTTGGTTCCCAAAATCAAATAAACCCTTTAGTAATGCATTCGTTGCGCTCGACTGATTCAATTTGCTTTTCAATTTGTTGATTTCCGCAATGTTTTTTAGTTTTCTTTGGCTTTTGCTCGCCTTGGCGCCGTTTTCAATCAGGACTGGCTTGTCAGTGTTGATTTTGGCCAACGCCACACCCCATCCTCACACAGATACGCACCCACACGCTCACACTCCCGCCGGCCAGCCTATACACATGCATTGGTGTGCGCACATCGGCCAAACAAAAGGCGACATCGATGGCTAATTTGTAGCAACCGAGCAAAATCAACATTGGCGAACAACAAAGACCTCAACAGGTGACTGTGCTGGGCACAAGCTCCCTATAAATGAATTTTCAATTGGCCACACGGGGAAGAACAGTTCTCGAAATGCAGCTCAAAATTGCTACAATACATTGGAAAATATATTGTCTAATTTAAACTATATGATTATTATATAAAAGCGGTATTTAAATCTTTAAAACTCAGCAAAAAAGGAGCTGGTTTCTACTTAAAATATAAAAGGTTAGTACACTGACAAGGATAAGGAAAAAAATAGAATGGTACGCACACAAATCAAGGAAAAAAATATTTTTTAGTTTTTTTTTAATAATATAGATACTCAGTTTAGCCCATGAGTATACTTTGTTTTCGTTTCCAACGCTAAACATTTGTAATATTTAATAGTTTGATTTAAAATATATATTCTAGATTACAAACCTATTTCTTAATGGCGCATATCATTTAATAACTTAGATGCCATTCACTAGAATCGAATTTACGCAATGATAATTGTTGAAAGAATTTGAAATTTTTTAATTTTCTTTATTATAAAATATGTATCCTCTTGATCGAGCGTAACAGGAATAATACTTTCGTATTAACAATAGCTTATTTCCGTCTGATTCCTTAGCCACTTGAGGCGCAGCGTCAGCCGCTTGACATGATAACAAAGCTCGAGTGCGCCGGGATTACCTCGATTTCTTTTGTTTTTCGCCCGCCGAAACTTCACTATTCCGCATCTCCGCATTTTCCTCATTTTCCGCACTTTCCGCATCCCGAAGGCAGATGGCATTAGAGCACAGCTAATAAAAGCTACAAATAATCGTGCATTTATTACGCTTATTCCGTGCACCAAAACACACACATGCTGCCGTTATTTATTTAATGCGCACAATTTTAGTCTTTGGCACTCAGCAAAAAACTAGAGGCTTTTCTTAATATTCTACTGTTTCTAAAAACAAACAAATACAAAAAGTTTACTTTAATTTAATTAATATATGTGTATAATACATACTTTAATGCCTTAATATATGAAACTAATTTGGATGAATTTCTATGATTTCTAGAGATGTCACCATTATACAGTTATATATTATTATTTATAATATAATTTTTTGCCAGTGTAAGTGCCCCATTTTTTTTTTTTTTTGCTGTTGGTTTTTCCTTTTTGGCTTCTCTCTGAATTTGATCATTATTATTGTTATTACTATTATTACGCGTCGGCCTAATTCGCACAGATTCCGCTGCTCAAGGAGTGGCTCCTCAGGATGCCCCATTTCCACCTGCAATCCCGATGCCATTGCCCATTGCCCAATCCGATTCCGATTCCTATTCCGATTCCTATTCCGATACCAGCCCCGATTTCCCTTCCGGCTTTGGGTCCACGGGCAGAGGGCCTCGCGTATTTCGCCTGCGGTTTGCCCTCTAATAAGCTAAGAGGCATCCTAATGCCCTTAAGTCGATAATTAGGGGCATTGTTGTGGCCGACCCATGAAGGATTCGCCGGCCAATGTTATTGCAATGGGACTGAATGGCTGATGGACTATTTCGACCACGAGGCGCAGGCGTTTAAATGACTTTTTAAGGCTGAATAGAAATAGTCATGGAATTTCATGCATTTGACATGGGAATTGAACAGCTTTTTTGTCTTACATTTTTAGATCCAACATGATCAAATACAAATAGTTGTATCAACAATTTAGTCCAAACAAACAAGATTACCTTAAATCATGGGCTAGAATTTCAAGATCTTCACTCGGTGTTACAATTTGTTAAGCAATTATTATTTTTTTTGATATTATTAAATAACAAAATTTAAAAAAAGAATAACAAATTTAACATATTATTCATTTAGTTATTTAATAACAAGAGATTTATGCCCTACCGCAGAATCATTTACTTTTTTATCGGAACACATTTTCTAAGAAGAAAATTCTGATTTAACCAAATACAATACATCTTTGTATTTTAATTTTGTTATTTAATTAAATCCGAATTATAAAAACTATTTTTGCACAAAAAGTCCAGTTTAACTGCTAACCTAGCACTTATGCATTTACAAATGAGTTAAGGCTTGAATGCCGAAACAAATTAAGGCTACTGATTTAAAGTAAATAAAAAAGTAATTAAATGTCTAACAAAAGCCAAAACAAATAAATTACAAATAACCCCTGTGGAAAAAGCGCAGATACTTATTGACTTTTATCTGTAAGCTATTAATGATTATTTTGCGATTCAAGCAACGAGAATTAATGGCCTTGCCACAAACAAATATTAAATATTCAATGATTTTTGGCCTTGTGAATTATTAAAATTAAATGCTACTCCTCAAATCCAACAACTGGACGGGCCATTATTTTGATGAATTGATGCTTTTTTATTTATTTTCTCCCAAAAAAATTGACTGTAAGACAAACAAGAATCCGCCGAAGCTGCAGTTTCTTAAACTGTGCAACTTGACCAGAGCTGTTCAGTTTCAGTCAATTTAAATTTGATTAATATTATTATTTTTATTATTCGTCCCTAACATCTGTTCTTTCTCTCTATCTTGCAGCTCGGTGGATGCCACGTGGCGAGGTTAAAGGTGAGTTGAAGACATTTTAAATATGCTGCACCCATCTAGGGAATTGCCCGACGGCTGAGATACAGATACAGATACAGATACAGATAGGGATGCCCGGCTGTAGATACAGATACATATACAGCTACAGATACAAATGCCGGGCCAAGATACTCATCCGAGACAGCTGTCTTGGCATTTTAAGTGACTGGACTCCACCTCCCAATCGTTTCTTTGGCCCTCCTTTGGCCCGCCTTGCGATAACATAAGCAATCGACCCAAAAACTTGGTCAATTGGCAATAAAATCAAAAGCGAAAAAAGTTCAAGAGCAACGACAGCCTCTGTGGAAAATCTTGGGAGTGGGGGTATGGGAAATGGAGAAAAAACTGCGGGCGAGGGCTGGAAAAGTTACCCGACAAAGTCCAAGCGTGACTGGCATCGGAAAAACCGAGGCGGTCGCCGTTCGAAAGTCCAAGTTGGTTTATAAAACGCTTTGTACGCTCAAACAGACACAGTAATTGGCGATACACCATGGCCAACATACACACACATACACATACACACCCAGACCAACACTCACACACACGCCCTGTCCGGTTTTGTGATATACCCCTACTTTGTTTTACGTGGCGGCCGGCGGTAGGCTACAAAAAATCTAGACATACTTAACAAATGACCGACAGTTGGGTGCTCTTTCGTAAAACAAAATAATATTGTGTTTTTTTACAATTTCTTTTTTGGCGAGAAAGAAACAAAATTTGTAAAAAGATTAGATTAAAGTACTTATTTTGTTCCAAAAAGTTCGTTTCTGGAATAAAGTTACCTTTGTCTAGCATTCCATTTAGCCAGTAACTGCCTTTAGCTACAATGGTCAATGGATATCTTTTTTAAAGGTTAAACAATTATTTGATAATTAAATTGACTATAGTAATTTAACAATCATGTTTATTTAAATCTAAGTTCATAGTTATCATTAGAAATGTGGGATTATTAAGTCCTTTAATGTTTTTAATATTTTTTTTAAAATTATGAAACATTAAATAACCCTCTCCTAGTTCCCATCTTTCCCAAAAAGAAATCGTATATGTTCACTTAGAGCTAGCGTGAACTGCATTCCCATGGACCCAGCTGCCTGCAGGGTATTGGGAAAACTTTGGCGGCGACGAGGACGCGCCTTTCATAAACTTTGAGTGTTTCTGTTGCTGGCATGCACTTACTACATTCCGCTCTTCTTTTTCCAATTTTCCCCCGAATTTTTTGGCCTCACTCGCATTTATTTGTACTACGCTCAGCTTTGTCTGTCCCTCTGCTTCTGCTTCTGTTTCTGCTTCGGCTTTGGCTTGTGCTTGTCGAGCGCTTTCTTCTGGTCCGCTCGTGTTCTTATTTATTTTTTTATTGAGTGGCCATCTTGCGTCTGTGTGCTGGCATTTTAGTGAAAAATTATTTATTATAAAATCCACCAACGAAATTATGAGGGAAATTTCCGTTCTTTTGGCCACTGCTGCTGTGCGGAAATTTATTTCGCATTCGCTGCCCAAACACTATGTACTCTATAGTTATATATAGTTCATAAATGTAGCAAGTTGGGATTGCATTTCAATGCAATAAGCAAGTTTATTCCTTTGCCGTCCCAGTGAAGGAAGAATGGGCAGAAAGGCTAAAAGTGGAGCAGACTGAAGCGAGTGCATACTTGAAATTCGGCTTCGTTAGCAGCTGGCTTTGAGCTCGCATATTTGGTTTGAGTCCGGTTCTGGGGCCCAAAATTGGTTTTCCCAGTCATAATCCGATGCCAGCCTGCCAAAGTGCCGATTCCCTTAATTTTACACATCCCCCAAACTCTTTCGAGCAGCTATATAGCAGACATTCAAACCGATGGGCGATGGATTTTATGGAATTTCAACTGGACTTTCGTATGGCCCAGAGGCAAGAAGCTAGATTGCCACTACCTGTTGTTTTACATTCAGCTTCACAGAGCACAAGTTGAAACCACTAAATTTGGAAATCCAATGTGCAATATTTTCAGAGTAAATTCCAGAATAAAAAAATTCAGTTTATTTGCTTATCGTTTGACCAAAGACAGATAAACTAGATTTCAAAAGTATCCCATGGCTTTTGGTAATCAAAAAAAAAATATATGGACACATTTTTTCAAAGTAGGGTCAATTTCAATTAAGTTTGTAGTATAACTTAAGCATTACCAACTGAACATCTGTATATGTATAAAAGTATGCAACGAAATATTTTAAATATAAAATATAAAGTGAATACCTAACATAATTTTTGTACTGCATACTTTTAGGCACCTATTGAAATAGTTATGGCACCATAGCAACCTCTTATATACATATAAATCAACAAATGTCGCTTCCAATTAAAGTCCACACTTATAATTTTAAATAAATGTAAAGAGCAATAGGGTCAAAAAGCACATTGTGGTATATTTAAAACACAATTAAACATATTTTTGTCAAACAAATTCAGCTTGGATTAATTAAAAAGGAACATACAACTATCATGGCAATGTGCCAGAAAAAAAACTCATTGTTAGCTGTGACACATGCACCTGATGTCCCATCGTATTTTTTTTGGCATCTGACGATGCAAAATCAAATGTAATTTCGCAATCAAACAACAAAGAGCGTCAAGTGCGATTTAATTTAATTGTTTGTGAGTGCAAGGGTCGCTATATATTGATTAATTGTAAAAACGCAAGCCGCAACAGAAGAGCTGAGTGCACTAGCTTAATGAATTTGCACTTCATCGAGCGTCACAAAGAAGTAATTACCTAATGCAAGGGGGGTCGGCCGAGGTGGGTGGGCGTGGCACATCCTCCAACCGCAAAATCAAAGCTCCTTTCTCAGCGTCCTTTTCGCCTCAAACAGACAACTGCCCACACCCACACACACACACACACACCAACAAACAAGCAAACCGGACAGCAGGATCACAGGATGAGTGACTGGCTGACTGGCTGACTGGATGACTGAATGTCTGGATGACTGGCTGACTGGATGACTGGGTTTCAGCCATTCTCATCCTGCTGGCCAGCACTTGTAGCCATTCTCCTGCTAAGCAGGCCAACACCAAAGCCAAATGAGTTCAGCGCCCGCAGGCAGAGACAAAAGGGGGGGACAATGGCAAGGGGATAGAAGTGATGCTAGTACGATGGGACAAGGCGGGAAAAAGGGGGGTGGAAAATGCTGGGAAAAGCCAAGGAGAACTTGGCCAAGGACCGCATCATGCTGGCCATGCAGAAAGATTTAATACCCAGCAAATACAACAGAATGCTTAAATACCATCCATAGCACCAACTAGAAATGACCTTAATTATTAAGTAATGACACATCAGCCAATTAGATCTATGATTATATGCAAAATCAAACTAATTTTTACTTACTGTAAATACAATTTAAGGTAATTTCGTATTACTCAAAAACAAGTTCTTAAAAAAAGTATGAAAAGAGTTCCACATTTACTTTATAAACTCAAAATTAATCATTGCATACTCCTAGACACCATATTCATTGTATTCTGCACAAAATATAATAGTTTCAATCAAATAATTTCTGGCGTTTCACATAGAAAGTTGAAGGCATTAGAATTCGTTGTTGACCTGCTGTATTAAGTGCATGACTTAAAGTTTAATAAGGGCTGATACACAATTTCGACCTTAAACTTAATCTTCATTTTGACATCTGCTAAGAATATTGCATTTTAATGACATGCAAATCATCATACTCAAGTGTCTTACACAAAAAGCTTGCACACAAATTCGGCTCGAATCAGAGTGCAAGAAAATGCATTGGGCGCTTTTCTTTGAGGTTGGTTGGACCCCTAACACCGCAGTCGCTCTGTTTTCCCCTCAATTTTCCCACTTTCCCGCTTTCCCACTTTCCCGCTTTGCCGAAACTTGAGCTGCTAACGAGCGGCGAGTCGAGCAATGATTGCGGTTACTTGCTGGTTTTCGTTTCATTTTTCATGCCACTTCTTTGGTGGCTGCATTTCCGTCGGATCGGTGCAGGGTCAACTGGACTGGCTGGAGGCTCTCGGAAGGTGTTGGCTGAGTCCGTCCCTCGTCCTTGTGACGTCCTGCCGTCCTGCCGTCCTGCCGTCCTGCCGCTTGTTAAGCACTTTAAACAATGTGGCAGCCTGGCACTCGTCTTGTTAAATTTAATTTTGCCACTTGCCCGACCAATGACAGGGCACAAAACGAATTCCGACAGCCGTCCGAGGAGTGAAATGATGCATTTGCGATGCACACCCACTCCTCTCTCCGCTACACAGACAATTTGTCAAATGAATTCCGAGTCATTTTGGAGAATTGCATAAGCAGGAAAAGCGGTGGAAAAGCAGGCGGATAAGCAGGCGGTGAAGCCAGCGGAAAAGCAGAGCGAAAATGCCAGGCACCAGGGACACTTGACATGACACTTGGAGTGGCCCCGGGAATCCCCGGAATGCAGCAAGGCAAAATGTTTTAAATGCATCTCGCTTTAGATATTACCTGGCAAGTGGAAGCTCGAAGGTGAGAAACACTGCGCCCGCATTGTTGCGCGCTGCAGCAGCGTAAAATTTAATTTTCCAATTAAATGGAAAAAGTTTTTTTTTTATTTTGCCTCCATCATCCCAACACCCTCGCCTCGTTGTTTGTTGTTGCGAAAAGTTTGTATATTTTTTGGCCATCAAACTGACATCGGGGAATATTACAAAACCCCCAAAACGCAGCGGGCGAGATAAAACATTCAGATGCAGCGAACAAAAAATATACAAACCCCCTGACCACTCCAGCGATTGCATTTGTTTTGCGTATCGGATGCACAAACATTTTCAGGTCCGCAAAAAAATGTTTTAAAAATATATACGAATATATATGTGGCAGCCGAAAAGGAATTTGTGAAAATATATTTAAGCACGCTATGCGGGTGGACCTAGCAGATGGCCTGGAAAAACGAAAATGATTCGAGATTATACAAAATAATTGAAGTTATAAGGCAAAATTAATCAAAATAAAAGGGCAAGCTTAAAC